TTGCCAAAACTCAGTAAGCAGCCCTCCGCCTGAAATAATTTCACACCCCTGGCTTAGTGTATTAAAGAGTAAATCCAATCCCTTTCTCTACCACTGCCCAGAGTCTCCAGGCAGCTGTTCTGCTGTTCAAGATATACTGCATGTATAGAAGCTACACAGAGAGAACATATCTGTGCATCATCCTAGAGTGAGCAGGAGAGGACAACACATGGACAGTCTGGGAAGAGGTTTCAGAACCAACAGAACTGCCATTGAATGGGATTCAATGAGAACCCCCTCTACAGGTAATGCAATATAATAATATATTATTAATAATAATAATATATTATTAATATATTATATCACACTAATATAAATTCATGGAATGAGGTGGGAACATCACTGGCCTGGGTAGAAAATTTCTCCCCATTTATCCAATTTGTTTCTCCTATCTCCCATGCTTAGGCAGGATTTTTTTAAGCCAGATTCCTATATCACCAATAATTTAGTATTCAATAAATTCAATAAATGCAGTCTTTCTCTCCTGATCATGTATTTAACTAACTTTTATAATTGGCTGAACAATGGATATCATTCACTGAGTATGGTGCCACTTAGAAATACACTGATCTGAATAAGGACTTCTAAAAAAGAAGGACCCATCATGAGACAGAAAGATAGATATTGCATAAAATTCTGTGTGACTCAATATTTGCATTTTAATACTTGATTGTTTTAATCAACAAATGGAAAAATACCTGAGTAAGAGGCACCTGCTTTTGACTCCAAGAAGAAGCAGGACTCGCCACATGCCTTTGGAAGAACCTCTTTCTCCCTGTCTTCTTGCATGCCAGAACTCTCTTCAGTGCATTACAGTCAGGCTTTTATACTCAGCCCTAATTTTCCCAGAAGGCACAGATCTTAAAAAAGAAGCACAGACTCTTTTATACTGTGTCATAAAAACGGATACACACTTAAATATAATCATGTTAAAGATAGATGAACTAATTCAGTTAAAATAAACACATCCTTTCCCTCCCCTCCCCACCAAAGTTTCAGCCAAAGCTTAAACTAAATCCTAATCTAACCTTTACTAAATTTGGAAAAAAATTAACTTCCCTTCAGTCTTCTGCTATTTTTCTTTTTCTGACCCTCTGTATTTCTAAATTTCAATCAAAACAAAGAATGGGAGAAGCTAGGCCAAAAGAGGTTGGCTTTGCAATATTTCTGGCCCAAATGGAAGCAGGAAATGCTAAACATCTTGTGTGGAAGCCTATTCTCATAAGGTTTATAGCCTATTTTTTTTCCAGCAAAAGCAGTGAGGTTCCAAACATATGGGCATATATCCTGACCAAACCTCGTTTGAGCTTCATCCAGAACTAAATCATACCCACATTGCACTGAGGAACAATGTGACCTACCAAGGCAAAATCCTGGTTTCTCTTTATTCAGATGAGGGAGTACAACAGCACAGTTCAAAACTGTTAGAATAATAACGTCACAGAGTTAAGCACTGAAAAGTCAGGGACAACCCCAGTTCAGGTTGTTCCTCCACAAACTTAAGTCAACCCTCTTTGTGAGTGGGCATTCCCAGGCAGTATGATGGTAGGTCTCCAATGCAATCTTAAGCAACATTGGATATTACCAGGCATGGTATCATACTGGCAAATAACTCTATGTGGGCTACCTCCGTGAGAAGCTGAGTAAATATTTTGGTAATCATCCAGCACAAAGCTTCATTCTGCTCCACCCAGATTGCTACCAGTTCCCAAGCGACAAGGTTTAAAACTAACTCAGGAATATTTAGTCAGTGCCTACAGTGTTGACCTGTTATGAGAGCAGTACTAAGCCTAATAAGCTCAGCCTCTCATTTTGTTAGTGGGAGTACAGGAGGCTCAAGGAGCAGAAGTGCCTTGTTAGGTTCACCAGTGTACAAGGGGACCATGTTTTGCTATAGGTCTCAAAAACATGCCATATGCACACAAATAGGAAATACAAACCTATTCTTTTCCTCTTCCATGTTGAGGTGATGGGTGGAAGCTTAGTTCCCCTTTACATATCTATCATTTTTCTAGCCATCTGTATGGCCATTTTCGGCCCCTTCTTTTACAAAAACTCAGAATGTGTAAACCCATGTGCATAGGCTACATGCACAAGCTCTGGAGAAGATGGCAGAAAGTTTGAGAAGCCCTCCCATATTTCTCTCTCAATAGCTGAGTGGTTACGGCACTTTTCCAGGAAATGAGACTGGGGTCCTAAGCCACCTCACCCAAGTAGGGTTTCAACCTACATCTCTCTGACTATACTGCATAGTACTTTAAGCACTGTGCCACTGATTAGGAATTTGAGAGACCCTGCCTGTGGTGCTCCATTTGAAGCTAAGCTCCTGTACTTTGTATTTAATAGATATTGGATAAAATAGATTGAGAGGTTCCTACCCTACTGGGAGCAAAAGGTTGAAGGTAGAATGCAGGACCTGTTTCCATCTGGGTCAATATCCATTTCACCAGACCCCACACACCCTGAATTGTTCTCCTCCTTCTCCTGTCTGTTCAGGGGCCCAACTTTCAAAGGCATGCCAAACTCGGGACTGGATAATACCTGACCTATAGTTTGGTGTTTAGAGCACTGTGCTACAAGGTTGTAGAGACAAATACTGAAATTCCCTCTGGGTAAGGGAGGCCTGTCACCCAGGTCTCCAGCTTCCTGGGTAAGTGTCTTAAAACATGGGAGGGCCCCTGTAACAGGGTGATCTGTCCCTTTGACTAAGGATGGAAATAATACATAAACTGGTATAAGTGATAGGAAACCAGTTCAGATCTGTAACACAACAGAAGTTTAATGCACATAAGCCACTTTCAAAATTACCAAAAATTAATTTAAGATAAACCTGGATGGATGTACAATCAGACTTAGCTGATTTAGATTAAATTGGTTTATTGAATCTCTGTCCCAGATCCATAGGTAGCAGAAGGCCAGGGCTAATGGGGCTCAGACCCTCCTTTCCACCCCATACATGAGGCAGTGGGTAGGGCATCAGAGCAGACCACAGGCTATGGGCAGCTGCAGCAGGAGTGGGGAGGGGTGCAGACGCAGCCAGGATCTCAGCCTGATGTGTAAATCACTACCCAGGACAGCAGACAAGTCTATTCTGTGACAGGGAAGGGGTGGGGGCAGATCAAGGCCCCTGCGGTGAAAAAGGGAGAGGGAAAGAGGCAGAGGCCAGGGCAGGGGCAGGGACTGGGGTGATTGGGACCCTGGCTGGGCTGGATCATGGGACAGTCAAAGCCCGGGTGGATCATCCAGGGGTGTGGGGGGCTTCTGCTGCTGTGTGCACCCAGCAACAGCCCAGGGGGCACAAGCTCCCCAATCTGTGCATGGGGCAGAGGTGTGCTACTGTTGAGCACTGGGTTCTGTGCCCCGCTGCTGCTGCCTCCAGAGCTGCATAATGCCATGTGCCTGCCATTGCTGGGCTGCACCATGAACCCTGCCAGCCTGACAGTGGGGACACACATGGCATCATGCAGCTCCAGAGACAGTGGCAGCGGAGTGCAGAGCCCAGCATGTAGTGGGCAGCCCGCCTTCACCCTGGGCACAGAACAGAGGGGCACATGTCCCTCTGGCCTCCACCAGGGTGCGCATAGTGGTGGGAGCTCCCACCCCATGCCTGCTCCAATTGGGCTCCAATTGTCCCATGACCCAGCCTGGCTGGGGCCCCATTCACCCCAGCCCCTGCCTCTGCTCCACTCCTTCCTTCACCATGGGGGCTTCAATCTTCCCCCCACAGCCCTTCCACCTCCCCCCACCCCTTCCCCCATAGACTTACCTGCTGAAAGGGAGGAGTACATGCATGGTCATACATGTACATGCACAGCCCTCCCCAAATAATTTTTTTTCCCTCTGCCTATGCCCAAATCCCCTCCAGTTTCAAGTTAACTCACAGTCCCCCAGAATCCCAAGATACTTTGCACCTCCATTGCAAGCTGCCCCCACCCCAGTCTGCTCCAGCTGAGCATAGAGGCATGCTGTAGTGCCCCCCAGCTCCTGACCTGGGCCACTGCAGGCATGTGTCTGCATTTCCAGAATCAAAGGTGAATGTCTGTTGCTTATCAATTCAATCTACACAATTTAGACTAACCTGCGAAGATTGAACTGATTTAACCTCAGGCTTTTTGACTGTCTGTACTTAGCGTTTAAGAGGAAACAGTCAGCCCTGTTGAGAAAGCCAAGCTGTGAAGCATTTAGATAATGTAGCAGTGTCCCACTTGGCATGAACGACACGTGCCCCTGGCAGTTGGGGCGGCACGGCAGCGGTGGCAGCCAGTGGGGATCATGGACTGCCTGCAGATGCCACCAGCAGTGGCTGTGGCAGGGTGGTGAGTAGTGACCGCCCACAGGCACTGCCGACAGTGTCGGCGGTGCCTTTTTGGAGGGGGTGCACTGCCATGCTCAGGGGGTACATGTGCACCCACATGCATCCCCTACGCATCACCGCTGCCACTTGGAGCTTAAAACTGAAAAGGGAGGAGCAGATAAGAAACAATGTTTGAGGGAGCAATTTGCAAGAGAGAAGGAAGCAGGCTGTGATTTGAATTGCTTGCTACACCAAGGCGCTAAACTATTGTGCTGGGGCCAGAGCAAAAGGAGGTTCCCCTCCCAGTGTCTGGGACATAACAGTGGGAATTTTTTTCTTGGGTTTTGTTTGTTTCTTTTTTGTTGAAAAGAATATGTTTCATTTGAAAGGAGTGACTGAGGAGCTCTTCAGGAAGCAAAACCTGCCTAAAGGAGCCAGTAGGCTAGAAAACATATTTATAGCCCTCCTCTTCCTTCAGACCCCATCACTGGCTGGCCGTGTATTTTTGGCCACCTACTTTCTGGGGATTTAAAACACCAGTATACATACATAATGGATGTACATAGTCAGGGCCATCCCTGGAGGGGGTGAATCAGGGCACCTGCCCTGGGCCCCATGGTTTGGGGGGCCCCGCAGAGCCAACCTGGCCTCGCGTCCAGCTGCTCGCCACCCACCTCTCCCTGCCACCACCGCCTCTACATCCAGGCCCCACACAAGCTGATTTGCCCTAGCCCCCACACCCTGTTATGGTCATCTCTGTACATAGTGCATATGCGCCCAGTAGTTTGTAGCCTACTGCACATGCTCAGTCTATGTGTGCATGCTTACGCATCCATCCTGCTGGAGAAATAGAATCACTATCTGCACATAAGTGGCATTTTCTTATTTATGTGTCTAAAACCTGCTATTTAGATATCCAAAGGAAACAGAATTTTATGTAATGAGGGTACA